TCTTTTTAGTGTACATTCTCTTGACGTACCCTATTAAAACGCAATCAAAAACGCAAAAACCCGCATCTAAAATAGTATCATAGAAGCCAAGTTCTTCACGGTAAGCATTAATCCTGTCTCTCTCCCCCACGGGGGGAACATCGAAAAATTTGTTGTTAGTGTACATTCTGTTGACGTACCCTATTAAAATGCAATCAAAAACGCAAAAAACCGCATCTAAAATAGTATAAATAGAAGCAGAGTTCTTTACCGTAAACCTTAATCTTAACCATCTCCCTTCGGTGGGGTTGAATTTCGACATGTATATTATATAAAAACACCTGCATATTCGATTGCAGCGTTGTCAAAATTTCAAAGGAATCGGTAGGAACAAACGAACATTACATTTTTATTTATATAGATAGATAGAAGATGATCTGCTTTAGTTCATTTTCACAGAAAAGCATAATGCCTCACAGAAAAGCAAACTTAGGTCGTTGTACTCATAGCGCCATCTGTTGGACATAAAAGCCTTAACCTAGATTATATCTTTTAATTTATATGAATGTTTAACGGAACAATATACAGCCTATGTCCACCCTGAAGTTCCATTCTAAATATTGGTGAAAGAATTTTTGAAATTGGATGAGTAGTTTCGGAGATTACCTGCTGCATACAAACTGAGTTTCACTTTTTCAACCTGGTTTCACCAATTTTTTTTATGGGATCACGTAAAAGCAATTATTCTCACTTTTTTACAATAATTTTTTATTTAAGCTAGTCATATGAAGTCTTTTGGACATTAGGGTTAGCAACTTCGATTACATGCAGGGCCTCACAACCTATACTGTCTTCCAAGAGGAGATCAACTACTACATTTGGTCAAGTTTTCTTCAAGCCCTTTCTACAACACACCCTTCTTCCTATCAGTCCCAGCAATATAATCGTTTAATGGCATTTGAATAGGAAAATTAAATGAGGTTACCAGTGAGCACAAAATATGGTTTAAGTGGTTTTCAAGGGTGCCAAGTTTAAATATTTGGTCCATTCTTTGTGAAATTTGAGTTTATTGACAGATTATCATTTGATATTTGGCTGTGAATGAAACAGTTTGTTACAGCTAACATTAAAAAAGAAATACTTGACCAAAGAAATTGTACCAATTAATACCATCTGAGTATCACAATAAACATGACAATGGTAGGCTAAAATAACCAAATTCTATATGGTTTTCATTTTAATGTGTCTTATAGTATTTGAAGGTTATCTTATGTAATGGTTTATCACACTGATTGGCCACTCTAACACATTTTAAAAATTCTTTATTTCTCTACTGTACACAATTTAAAGAATTTAAAAATGCATTAGATTGGTCACTTGGTGTGATAAACCTTTGTAGTTATATAAACCAAACACTATAATGTAATATAATAAAAGGGTTAGAAGTACAAAATAATCTAATAATAATAATGTTTGTTCTTATTTTTTACCCAGGCAATGCCAGGCAATTTTATTCATATTAACTTTGTAGAGTTTTTTATTTTCTGAAATATTTTTGTCTTATAACATTTGTATTTTTTGTTTTAATTTGTTATTTTATTTTAAATATGAGAAAAACAGCCTACTTGAACTTTCATATGGAGGAATTGAATTTTGCTTGAAAACTTTTGCTATCATTTCAAAATTTTTCAAGTGATAATTATTTATTATTTTAAAATCACATCTTATTCACATAATTAAAAATAGTTTATTATTTTGAAAAGTAATGTTTCTGCTTGCTTAATGAATTAAATTTCAAAAACATTTTAAAATACTTTACATAATTCTGCATATTTTTAAGAATTTATTCTTGATTTTAAGTTACATATTTAAATTATTGTATAATAATATTTCAAACATATTTAAATTATTTAGCAATATTCTATAATTATTTTTTGATATGATTTTGATACTATAGTCTGAGATTAGTTTGTATTTACTGTATATTTGCGCAGTTAAGATGAGGTATAAATTTTCATCATCAAAGTTTTATAGTTTTAGCATATATCTGTCCTATAAGACAATTACCAAACTATCAACGGCCTATGAATTTAGTTTAGATCAGCAATAATCATCTGATAGTAATACTGGATAGCATATACGGAATTATATCCAATTCGTAATTTTTTGAATAAACAAATTTTTTCTTGCATCTGGCAGCACTGCCTTGCTATTGTTGCAAACATTTGCACTGATTCAGGCATTCAGGTAATGACCTTGACTATTCACAAAAACATTGTATGGGCTATTCTATTTTGTGGACATACCCTACTCTGTATTAGTAAATAATTACAGTTTTTGTTTTTTTATAGTGATTTTAATTTATATAAATTTCAGTCTAATTTTTTTTCTATCTGTCCTATAAGACGACCCCAGATTTTGGGTTTTTTTTTTTATGATTCAACTATCGTCTTATCTGTGCAAATATATGGTATATATATGTTATGGTAAAAGTGATATTCATAATTGCCTGTTATAATGCATAATCACCAATCATATTGATAAGTTTGATAAATTTCACTAAATTTCTCTTACTGGCAATTATGTATAATTTCCAAATGAGTTTGATAAATATTGTTGAATACAGGTAACCCCCGTATAACACGGTAGTTACGTTCCAAAAAATTGCTGTGTTATGCGAATCCATGTTATACGAAACAAAGAACTAATACGAAAAGGAGGGTTAGGTTCCAAAAATTAAAAAACATGCTAGTATATTTTCATAATTAAGATAAATATCTTCATTAAAATTTTTTTAAGTGATACATATTAATATAAATTAAACAATGTTTTCTTCGTCATCACTAAAAACACTATTAATTAACCG